TGCTGCCCGCCCTCTGCCATGTAGCTGCACATTCAGGGGGGTCCTCCCCTCATCTCAGCTCCCAGACACTCTGCGTGACCATACTCTGGCATCTCTGGGCCCCTAACACCCCAGAAACAGATGCCACTTCACTGCCTGTAGATGCGCTTGGCCCCTGCGTGTCTTGCCAGCCTCACATCCCCCTCACCCCTTTCTGCTTCACTGGAAAACTCTGGGTGCAGACCCGGGCATCATCAGGCCCACAGTGATGCCTGGGTGGCTCCTGCTGGAAGAAGGACGCTCCAGAGCAATGTCAGGATCTACAGCACCCAGGGCAGAGGATACAACCCTCTTGGTTTTCAGTTAAAAACCACCTGCTACCCCTAAGCAGCCCCTCCTGGGGAGAGGGTGATGAGCATCCCCAGGTGACAGGCCTTCCTTGAGTCCAGGCCAGGACCCCAGCCCCACTGGCCTGTCCTGAGGGCCAAGCAGGATGGGCAGGAAGGCACATGAGGGGCTCCACACACGGCAAGTCAGGACATGCCGCTTCCCCACTGCTGTCATTGCTGCTCACAGAACGGAAGGACCTGCCTGTGGCCTTCAGAGGATGTTAGCTGACTCTCCCCAAACCTCCAGTATGTCACATTCATTCCATCCGGGAGTCAGAAGGGCATCGCTCAGATGTCACGGAGCCAAATATGACATCGGGAGGAAGGTGGTCATGGTCGTTCACTCCTAGCTCAATCATAGCCACTGTGGGAGCTGATAGAGAGGAGCCTTTGATGGCACGCCACTTCTTCTTGGCATGAAAATCTTAATTATGTTGGTAAAAATATTTTCAGAAAAAGAGCTGAAGTAAATATCTAAAATTAACCCCGATATTAAAGCGAGAAAGTCAGTCTATGCAGGCTGAAAGAGGGTGGTGACAGTCACCCGTGTCCCCCAGACCATGTCTGTACTGAAGGGGGTCCCGTGTGTGCACGTGCTGCTCCCACAGCCAGGCTGCGGGCTGCTGAGGACAACCGGGCCTTGTTACCTAGGCTGTTCCACTTTCCGCAGCCCGGGTGTTGGAGGCTAACAGGCAGGTCCGTGAATCTGCTCAGATGCAAAGGAAGTTTCGAATTATTAAGAATTACAAGGATCCCAGACCCGCAACTCAACAAGACAGAAGAGCCATCATGAGTCAATCACGTGGTAAGATCAAGAGGTCCGGGAGGCAGAGGTGGCCCTGGGCGGGCAGCCCCGCGTGTCCCTAGAGGTGTGAGGACGGAGGGGGCCAGAAGCACGGTGTCCAAGGCAAGTAAGAATCCTGAGGTGCAGCCATGGCTGGGATGGACCCCCTTGTCTCCCAGTCCATGCATCAGTACAGACCCGGGCTCACCTCAGCCTCATGGGGCCGTCATCCTCTCGTCACAGCTTGCAGATTACCAGAACGTTCCAAGTGAAGATATCAATGTCCACGTAACGTGGCTTCCTCTTAATGAACAGCACATTTAAAAACATACCTATCCACCTGTGCTGCCCTGAAGTCTGTTTCTTCAATTGTTGCGTGAAATGGGTTGAATGAGATAGCCTCTGCAGCTTCCTCAGTTGTGAGATTCCATAATTCCACTAACGCCTCCCCACTGTGCAAGGAGTTCCCAAAGCTCAGCTGCCCCATGAAACGTGCTCCAAAAGCTGAAGAAATCAGAGCAATGACACAAGTCTCTCCATTTCCCTGAGATTCAGAATTCTGTTTTTCCTTTGCTTTGATTTGTAAAAGGAAGGACTGGGCTTTGGGCACCAACAGGCCCAGCTCAAAGCCGCATGATTTGCAGCATCCAAATCGCCCCGGTTACTCTCTTCCTGGAATTTTGATTCTGTCCTCATCCATGCCCCATATTGCAAACAACAGCATTCCCTAGTGTGAGAGTGTTCCTTGTTCTCTTACTCCTTTTACATTCCACAAATGCATTTTACATAATTCAAAAACCATGTGTCACAAAACCTCTTCTCTGGTAAAATTTCAAGATCAACTTTTATATCTCGTTTCAATAGAAATAAAACAACATAATAAATGATTTGGGAAAGTAGTTGACACTCTCAATTTTATATTGAGAGGGAAAGTTGACTAATACATTCTTAATTAAAACAGAATTTTAGTTTTCTTCATTAATGTATAAGGATTCACGTAACAGGAGTGATGCTCTTCTTGCTAAATGAATCAAGAGACTCTTACATTTATATTAATATTGAATTTCAATTAATAAAAGTGCAGCAGAGTCAAGCTGTACTTAATTCTCTTTTCTAGTTATTTATCTGTTTGCTTTATTGTTGCTGTTTGCTTCATTTATCTTGTTTCAGGGAAAAAAGTAATGTTACCTCAGAGAGCCATTGAAACATAGGACAGCACAAGTCCCTACAATGTGTGAATTATCATAGACAGCAGTGCTATATTTTCCTTTGCAGGAATGGTTCCTGCAGTGAACTCCTCACTGAATGCCCCCACGCGTCCTGAATGTAGGCACACGGCACACACATTACGCACGGCAATCATTGTCTATGTATTTAGTAGCATCAGTAATCTTATATTATTTTAGCACAAACTCACAGGGCAAAACTAGAGGCACTTTTAATTGATAAAGAAACAGCAGAGCAAAAGAAAAATACATTCCCAGTCTGGCCTCTTGCATTAAAGAACATGAAAAAGTAAGAAAAGACAGCGAATTTTAAAAAAAAATACAGAATAGTAAGTCACAAATTATTTGTGCTTTGTTAAACAAATGTGCCTATTTCTACAAAAGAAGATCATTAGTAAAAGGATCTTTTAGAAATAAAAATTAGGGGCACCTGAGTGGCTCAGTGAGTTAAGCATCTGACTCTTGCTTTTGGCTCAGGTCATGCTCTCCAGGGTCCTGGGATGGAGTCCTGCGTGTGGCTCCATGCTGGACGTGGAGTCTGTTTGAGATTCTCACTCCCTCTCCCTCTGCCCTGCCCTACTCACTCTTAAAATTTAAAAATTTAAACATTAAATTTAAATAATTAAAATCAAATACAAATGAAGCTCACTTTACATTTGAAATTTCAACGACAATAGTAGTTGTTATGCAAACCTTATGGTTGTTTGATGTTCCATTGTTACACATAATCAATTAAATATTATTCTAATACTGTAAAATACCAATTTGATCTTTCTTCAGATCCTCAAGAGAGAATTCAGTAATTTCCTGTTCCATGTCCATAAATCAACTGAATGTCGTTTTTGTGTTCTGCTCATTTAGGCTGATTTAAATCAAATCCTAGTATAGGGTGCCTTAGGTAAACTGGTGTTTCCTGAAAAGCATTTTCAGCCCCACTGAATGGTGGAAGCCATCCCTGTTGCTGTAGGTTATGTAGACTATCAGGTCACGGAAGGCCTTAAAATCTGGTAACAGCCCATGATGAGAGAAACACAGAAATGCGCTTATTCTATGAGCTTACATGCAACTCCATCAAGACCTGAAGTCATTTCCTCTGACAAGTCAAACTGCTTTATAGAAACATACACCTTTCCAAGGATATTGTTCAGAACAATTATACATGTTCCCCAAGTGAAGCTTAGGTCTGGCCCCATTGCTTCCCCCATGAGAAGCTTTCAAGGCCCACTGAAAACACCACATTGAGTTCATTTCCCACATACTAATCATATGCTACAGAGGCAGAGCTAATGAGGTAACTCTGGGAAATAGGGTGACAAGATTGAATAAAACTAACTCCCCATTTCTAAAGTTCATAAGAGAAGTCTGCACGTTAATATCTTTATGCAATAGGAAAACCTTTTTCCAGCCATTTCTGAGAAAAAAAAATTCAAATTCTATAAATATGTTTTAGATTTCCCTGCCATTTGTACACATGTATCGGATAGTCAGACCTCTAGATTTTTCACTTTCTCATCTCAGTCCGCTGAGAGCTGCAGCCAGGAAGGATGAGGGTCATGTCCTGGGCTGTAACAGTGTGAGCTGAGCATGAAGATGTGAGGCTGGAGGCTGTGATGGGGATGTCCTGGGCAGAAACCACACAAGAAGGACCCATCAGACCTGCTCCATCCCAACCCTCTGACTTCATGACTCCTTCCTCATGTTGGGTTGTGTATCTATGACCATTCCTACAACAGACAGTCTGTCCTGGGGCTTCTAGGGAGCTGCAAAATAGCAGGACTCTTGGATTTCCTTCAGAAGTCCTTGATGGGGTATACATCAGGGCGCAGGTATGGGAAAGAACCAGACTATTCTTAGTATCCTGAACCTTTTGTCTTTTGGGTATTTTTGTTTGTTTGTTTGTTTGTTTGTTTGTTTTAGACATGGGCATTCAAACACATTTAAGAGGAATACATGTAACCACTGGTAGCAGAGCTGTGATTCTAAGACTGCTTTGTGAACCTTTATGATGTTGAGTCTGTGGTCCCTCAGCAGCTGAATACTTTAAACCTGGAAGGACACGTTCTTTCAGTAAGTATTCATTTGAAAAAAATCACTTGAAAAGGCCAGAAGAAGCAAACATGCAATCAGCTAAGCGCAAAGATCACAGACCGAGTCCCCTTTCATGAAACCAGCAAAAGTCGTGAACCCTATAGGAGGCAACCCTTCACCTCTCCAAATGTCAAAACAGTCAGCTTTAACATGTAAAAGGCTGTCAAACAGTCTTTTGTAGCAAAGGCAATTCACATAGTTTTGAGGATTTTGAACTAAATCAGCCAAGTGTTTGGACATCTCTGAAATTAGGTCAAAAACAAATACTTGTTATCAAGTACTTCTATTTTTATACCTGAAGCTAAAGTTTGCTTGACATTTTCAGAGAACCTGTTTAAAGAACTTAGAAAGTTTAATAAAAACAGCAAAATCCCAACTACATTTTGGTAGTCAGGTCGCGAGAATTATTTGCATGACGCATCGAAAACTGAGGAAAAAGATGGACTACCCATGCTTAACTTCCAGAAAACAAAACCACTTTCTACATCTACCAAAGCTCTCTTCACAAAGTAGTAACATTGAGCCCCTTTTTACCTGAATTCTTATTGGTTTTGTTCTGCCGACTTTTAACTTGTTCGGTCCAAAGCGTGGGGTAACGTGATGCAATATCTAATAAGCCAAAACAAAATCAGAATTATTTTTGATGCATCATGAAAGCACAGTCTCTCAACTCAAGATCTCAGTAGGCAGCCTGAAAGCCAAAAAGTCAGTGTGCTAAATAAATACATACTGCGCGTTTTTAAAGAAATCATTACAGTGATCAAGTATGTGAGACAAAAGGAAAGAAAATTATATTTTTTAAAGTTTAGCATATGCTTTTTTTTTTCTATCTTTCTTCACCCAGAAGTGTAGATAAAAGTTATATGGGTCCAGACACTCTCCACTTAAAGCAAGACAGACGCACACCCCTGTGCGGGAAGGATGAGTATTCATGTAACACATGAGGTTTTGTTCAGGACAGATTCAGTACAAACTACAACATGTAAGATATCATTTTGCATCAGATGTTTCAGGAACACCTTCTTTTCGGCAATACCACTAAAGAAGCCACTGAGCACCAGCCCTGTCAATCCCACAGCAGCCCGAGAGAACGGGAAAGGCTGCCTGGGCCTGAGCCACCCTTCGCCACGATGGCCTGTGACCTCAGGCCAGTTATGTCAGTGAAGTGTCTGTGAAGGGGCATCTGAGGACCAGTGAGCTAACGACACTGGTAGCACCTAGCACGGTGCAGATGTGAGCTATTCCTACTACTGTTGTCTGCAACGTGCCATTTAATTCTATCTTTCCATCTTTGATTTACTTATCATGTGCATTCCTTACACTTTGTCTTCAAACCTTCATTCCTTTTGACCTGAGAATCTGTGACACGTTGGCAAACACCTAAGACAATTCATTGAGGGCTAAGAATAGGCAATCCATCCTGGCCATGACTACAAATTCAAAAACCCTCAGAAACATCTGCATGCATGTGACCTTCCAAGGCCTGTCTCGTGTACCACGTTGTGGTGACACATGACGTGAAAGACATGATCTCTGAACAAGGAACAGGACATACATGTTTATATTCTTTTAACATAAATATTTTATGCTACTCAAATTATTACATTTCAACTCATAAATTTTTATTTGAAAAGAAAGACCTTGGGTTGTGCTACATGAAAGCGCCATGGTGACATCCACATGCCTTGCTCAAAGCCATTAGCAAAGATAGCAGGAGCCCCATAATGTTGGAAGTGGTCAGACCCGACTTCCAGCAGTGAGACTGGCCAGCACTCCCAGCCCCATGACCACCCCCGATGCATGTCCACCACCCTCCCCCAGCCAGAGACCATCCTATCCTAGGCTCACCTTCTTCGTCTCCTTGAGGTTGGGTCTCCAGCGCTGGAGCTGACGCATCATCTGAATTCAGAACGGAAAAGATTTGCAAGGAGACTACAATTATGAGAGTAAGTTCAGTAAGTGTGCATACAGGATGGAAGCTGAGGGCTTGCATATACCCCACACATCACCCAAAACCACCACCCCAGGGGCACCCATGAGTGGGGCCGGGCAGGGGCTCCCCTGAAACCACACAGGGCACCTGGTCAGCTGCCCCTGGACAGTGTCGGCAGCCTGGAAACAGGGCCCCTGAGGGAAATGCTGGGTGGGCTGCCAGTCCCTGGGAGCCAGAGCAGCTCAGGACAGGGGAGGAAGAGACAGAAATAATGTAAGTCAGGGGACACAGCAGTGGGAAAGGGGACTCACATCAACAGAGTCAGCGAATTGGGGTGACCAAAGACAGAGACGGCTTGGGTGGACTGGGGGAAGCTGGATATCCTTGTTCTGCCCCCACCACCGTTTTCCCGAGTACAAGGCAGGGATCAAAGAATTGTGTACTGAGTTGTTGCCCTATGCACCCCTGAATCATCAGCTTCTCCATCACCCCTGCAGGAGCTGGGGTAAGGGCTCATGGAGGGACCAGAGTCCACGTCACAGAGCGGGGGAACAGGTGTGCATTAGAGAACCGCTCTACATCATTTCTTTGAGGCAGATATTCCAGGGGATAGTCTTTATTAGTAGAAAAACAGACTGTGGGGGCCCCAGTAAAGCATAAGGTTCTAGAGGGTTCTGAGACATGGTAAATGAGCTGCTGGAAGTCTGCTCTGGGTGAATGGGGCCCCTGCAGGGGAGCAGTCCAAGGCATTTGGCGGGGCCCTCAAGAGCCAGCCTGGTGCCTTTCACTCAAGCTTTCTCATGTGATTTTGTTATATAATAATTTCAGGATTAAAATACAATAAACAGTGGGAGAGATAAGGACTGGCCACAAGGCTTATCTGTGATTCATGACTTTCCCAGATGTCTGAGGAATAAAAATGAAGTTTCTCATAAATTCTTTCTGGGGGAAAACCGAAAAGCCTTTTTAAAAACCTTAACATGGAACAATCTTTGGGGAAAATAAAAAACGTGCTCTCTGTCAGAACACTCAGAATGTCATGTTGCCTATTTGAGAAACCCAAGTTCTAACACTGACAGTAACTGGAAACCCATCAAACATCTTGTAACCTCCTTCCAGAAACAAAACTTAAATGGGGGCCATATCTATAGTGCACTTAACATATTTAGAAGTCCTCTGAAATGGCACCAATCAAGTACATTATTAGTGTTGTACATTTTTACTGAGGCCAAGGCAGGTGACCACTATGGGACCATCAGCTTATTCCCCAAATCAGTGGGTCCCAGCCAGCCTGAAAACTCAGCCCAGCTCACCCACGGCAGGTGAGGCTCACGGCACCATGGGAAGGACATGGTGAGGGGGCTGCTGCAGGCCTCCCTCCAACCCCACCCCCAACTCCAACACCAGGGGCCCTTGTGTTTCCCCGCCCTCCCCCGCCGTCAGCATGACCCGCTCCACCACCACCCATGCCCGGGGTCCCTGTGTCGTTCTGTCTCAACGTAACAAATGCACCAGTGTCTACTGATATCAGACTTGAGAAAACGAATCAAAATGTGGAGAGCTGTGTGCTTTCTGTTTTTCCCTACAAGAGTTTGCAAGGCCTCATTTTGATCCATAAGCCAGTGGTGTGGTTTAATTTCAGGTATTTTCTCTGTTGTGTGCATGTCTGTAGATCAAGAGCCTTCAGCAGAAGGAATATATCCCTGCCTTAATTTCTGTGCCCACATACCAATTCCCTAGGGATTTTTTTTTAAACTTTTATAGCAGGTTGAGCACGTGCTATGAGGCCCTGCATCCGGAAACCGCATCTGAAGCAGTATTTCCTTTGTCACCTCTACCTCTTGAGCATCTGATGGATGTTTGTCACATGAATATTGTCCCTTCCTCCTCTCTAGAAAATACTGACATGTCCACCCTGGGACCTTACAGACCCAAATCCAAGCTGTTCATCTAACATTCTTTTCCAAATGTAAATGTTCTCTCCAGCCTGCATTCTGACTCTGCCTGCCACCATCTTTCCCCTAAAAAATGTGCTACTTTCCCCAATTATCATGTTGTTCTGTCCTACATCATACCCATCCCTACACCCACACCCTTCCATGCTCACCCACCGCCTCTCCTTTCATGAGACTGCTCCACCGATGCTCCCACCAAACCCCCCTCGGGCACTGTCCTCACAGGCTGACACTGTCTCGTGTGCCAGGTGCATGTCACTTGTATTTATCTTCATAACACACAGGCACTCTACCACCTTCCCAGGGCAGAGACAGTCCCCACCATAACCTCAATACATGCTTACGGGAATGGACTTGAGTGAAACTCAGGTCTACTTGGCTTTGTATCACTTTTCTTTATTATTGGGTCATATACTACAACTTACATCAGAAAAAAAAAAAAAAGAGTTGCCTAAAATTTTGGTACTAAATCATTATCTTTATTTTGTCTTGAAAATGACTTCAGGGGATCCCTGGGTGGCTCAGCGATTTGGCGCCTGCCTTTGGCCCAGGGCGCGATCCTGGAGTCCTGGGATTGAGTCGCGCATCGGGTTCCCGACGTGGAGCCTGCTTCTCCCTCTGCCTGTGTGTCTCTGCCTCTGCCTCTGCCTCTCTCTCTCTCTCTCTTTCTGTGTCTATCATGAATGAATGAATGAATGAATAAATAAATAAATAAATAAATAAATAAATAAATAAATAAATCTAAAAAAAAAAGAAAGAAAATGATTTCTGACTTTAAAGGCCAATGTAGAAAAAAAATAGAAAAATAAATAAATAAAGGTCAACATAGGATAAAGGCAGAACACACATCACTGGGTCTACAGGACGATGGCTGCGGGAAGCGCAAAGAGAAAAGGTGGGACTCATGAAAGGTCATGGTGGGCACACCATAGCCTGCGTAAGATGAATCAGGTGCTATGGAGCGGTTCCAAAAACAAATGGCTAGCTGCTCTACCTCATTCATGTTGGCCCCAGTCCCAGAGGATGTGACTTTCCTAGGTGGGAAGCATACCCATCTTTCTCATGAGGAAGCATTGAGATGTCTTTCTCAGCTACTGAGAAAGCTAATGTCTTACATTCTGAGCTAAACATAAATGACTCAAAGACTGCCATGCTTCAGATCTACGTGTGGAACCCAACACCAATCTGGAACCCTCCCCACAGGTACAGACTCCAGGAAGCACCTGCCAGCATCTACAGGTGGTCCCAGCACAAGTCATGTCGGAGAGGCCCTTAGGTGGACATGTGGGGGTTACACACCCAGCACCTGCAGGTCCCTGGCAACCCTAAGGGGTGAATGCATGTGTGTTGAACGAATAAGTAACTAATTGTGTCAGCTCTCCCTAACATGGAATCCACACTTAAATTTTAACTTCAGGCATAGATCAAATTAGCTGTTATATATTATCATCAGGGAAATTTAAGATAGTTACCTGTTTTTCCTGTGCCTTCTCGTTGGGGTAGCTTTTCATTTATGGAACCTAAAAGGGAAAATAAGGAATAAATTATTTGGGGCTCTCGAATGGTCATCAGTAGTTGTTATGCAAATATCAGGTTCCATTTGGATTAGTTTACAGTGCTTTTCTAGTTAAATTACTCAAGGCATCTGGGACCCTGAGGTGGCAATGTCATCTGTAGACACAAGCCCTCAACTAGTAAACCAAGGTAGGTTCCCACTCGTGCTGCTAACTAGCTGGCCATGTACACAAGGACATATACTCTTCAGTGTGCAATATGTCATAGTTTCTTCACTCGCAAAGTGTCCTAATTCCTTTAACATGCATTGCCATGTTGAGGCAGCAGAATAAATTACAGTTAAAAAGGAAACTTTTTTTTTTAAATAAAAAGTCATACAACCAAAGATAAATAAAGTCCTGATTTCAGTTGGATTTTGCTCTATAGGAAAGAAAATAGAGGAGCTTTCTGTAGAAGAATGCGGGAAACAAGCTCAGGCTGTCAGAGTGATTCATGAGAGCATCTGTAATATTTATGTTACACTGAGAGGTTTGCATCAGAGATGTGAGGTGTGGCTCTCTCTTCCCCATTAGCTCAAAACTCAACAGGCATAACTGTTTTTCTCACTTTATCACACCTACTCGGAAGAACAAAAACAGAAAATTCTGTTCAGCATGACTTCGGAATTTACCTGCCGATTGTGTTCAGAATCGTCGATGCGGGATTCATCTAGAATTACCACAGTCTCACGCTGGCTTGCACTCCTCCGTGAAAACATCTCATGACACAGAACGTGAAACCCATTACTGGCTTGACAATTTGGAATGTGACTTTGAAATACAAACCATCATTTATGCTGAAGATATAAACTTTATGACATTTAATAATATTTTTCCTGTTTCTTAGAATATAGCAGCAATACAGTTGCACATGTACCAGCAGTTCATCACAGGAAACGATGTCACAGGACAGAGAGTTAACACGATCATGCAGAGACTATTCATTTTCTTGAAATATCGGCGGAAATCACATGAAGGTGATGGGTCCTCATGCCCTTTGCCAAAACTAAGTGAGCAGGTTTACTTCGGGGAACAGAATGCACACACAACAGACATGCGTCTAGCAGCGCCAACTTCAGGAAAGCTCAGAGGGTCCACGGTGGTTGCGCTCGTTGGGTTTGCTTCCAGCTCAGGTGGAAACACACCCGCTCCTCCTGCCCTGAGTCTAAGAAACAAGTGGGCGACGTGCATTTGGAAATTTCACGTGCCGGTGAACAGAAAGGACCACGGTGAGCTTAGCTCTCCGTGATGTGACATCAGAGGGGTGCTCCCTGAAGCTGGCCCCTGGCTCTTTCCCTGCTGCTGCTCCTGCCACTAGGGGAATGGCCCATGGCGTCTAGGCTTCAAAACCCAGGATTCCACTTCTGCTGAGAACCCCCTGGGGCATGAAAGGGACCCCACTGTGTAGCCTTCTCCTAAAGCTTTTGGGGCCCTACTTGGCCTGCTTCTCCCTTCATGCCTCTCTACACAAATCCAGACTTCTTAAAGAGCTTAAGCGTCTTTAGTCATCAGCTTACTGTTATCATGTGTTTCTGCAATGAGTCAAAAAATGTTTTCTACTTGTGACTGGAAATGATAATATTTCAGTAATATTTCTCAATATGACTATTCAGATTCTAATATTCTAAGCTAAATGTAAATGTCATGCATAGTAATTCCACGCCCCACATGAGAGCCTCTTTGCTGGATTAAGGTAGTATTGTGACATCTAAGGATTGAGGACCACAAGCTGTGGATTTGCACTCTGAGAAGCTGGGGCCCCAGGGGCGTCTGGGGAGCATCTCCCTGCAACCCCGGGTGCACTTTCTCCCAGATCAACCCCCTCTCGGCTTGCTCACTGGCCCCCCTGAATTCATTTGGCATTTACTCAAACCAGTCGATACAAAATTATCCCATCTTGTTCTTAAATAGTAAGACGTGATTTTAGAGCAGAGTCAGGTGTCCTTGGTAACCTGCTCCCTGATTCAAGTGTTGCACAACAGAAGACCCAGAGACGCTGTTTATTTCATCTTTCAACTGCCTCTGGACAAAAAGCCTCCCCCAGATCTCACTTCCTTCCCTGCAGTGTCCTGTCCCTGGGAAGTGGAAGAAGGCTGAACATCACTGTCCACACAGCAAAACCACTATGCCAACCAGAATCCGTGAACCCAAAACCAGAAGCAACTCTTACTTTTTTCCTACAGTTTTCTGGAGAAAAGGATTTGCTGAAGAATTCCCAAGAATTTGGGACAGGTGAGATTCTAGGATGTAGGTGCAGAAGAGGGCACCCCTGGGGGACAGTGAACAGCTCTGTGAGCCACGGGCTGGCCGGCTACACCTGCAAGACCTGATCACCGCTCATGGGCTCATGGACATGGACACCGCTCCTCGGATTCCTTTTTCCAAGGACACAGATGAATTCCCTCCATTGGTGAGATCTTATCCCATTTAAATGCTCTTTTAAAAGAGGTGGCTTTCTTTAGCAATTCGGGTATGCGTAACTGGTGGAGGAAACCACAGAAACACAATGCGGGGAGAACTATACCCACAGTTTAAGGGGGAATAGCATGAGCTGTAGTTCTGAGCACCTGGTTCAAGTCCAGCTGCACGCAGGGATACCAGCTTTTTGCTGGAACAGCCTGGACCAGCCTGGACAGAGGGTGCCATGTCCTGCTGAGAGCTGGAGGTCCCAGCCAACTCCTTCCCCAGTGCCAACTGCACCCCAGTGTGTGAGGCCTGGGCAGAAGGGAGAGGGTTAAGGAGGTCACCCAGGGCAGGCAAGCACATGTCTAACATGCAGAATGGATGGCCCCCACAGGGCCCAGTTAAACAAGCCACTGTAAGTTATCCGTTTCTGGAAATCGCATAGTTGAGTGCAGATTTACAAGATCGCATGGCTTTGTTTCAGAAAAAAGGAAAGAATGAGAAAAAAAAAAGAAAAGGAATAGAAGGATTAGAGGCTCTGTTTCTCCTGTATTTTCTGGACATGTGTCTCTTTGCTGCAACTCTGAGTAACCCAGTAGACACTGTGCTCTCTGAAAGCAGAGGCCCAGAGAGCCTGCACCAAACAGTGGTCTCACCCCTCCAAACTCCAAACCCTTCCTTCCCCTCTCACCCCTCTCACCCCTCCAAACCCTTCCTTCCCCACCATGGTACAAACCAGTGGGCTTTTCCTAGGAGCTGGCTGGTTGTTTCTGCCCCTCATTCCCAGCCAGCATTACCATGAATGATCTCGCAAACACCGCAAGGCAGAGTGGCTCAGGGGGGAAGACAGAAGCTGGGCTGGAGAACGAACTCACTACCTGCCAGCTCTGTGACCCTGTCAGGTGGCTTCATCTGCCCCAAGCTCCATTCCCTCATCTGCAAAATGGGCAGTGTCAGGAGTATCTGCTCCCTGCTCGAATGACGACACGGGAGAAATCAACAGAAAAGAAGCACACAATGAACATTCACTTAAAATATCTCAGGTGTGGGATCCCTCAGTGATGGCTCAGTAGTTGAGTATCTGCCTTTGTCTCAGGTCATGATCCCGGGGTCGAAGGATTGAGTCCCACTCAGGGTCCCTGCATGAAGCCTGCTTCTCCCTCTGCCTGTGTCTCTGCCTCTCTCTCTCTCTCTCTCTTTCTCTGTGTCTCTCATGAATAAACAAAATCTTTAAAAAAGTATATTTTTAAAAACCTCAGGTGTTCTGTCACCTATCTGTTGCATATCCCACCTGTGGCCTCTGCCTTCACTCAGTATTTTATATGCAGAGGTGGAGACAAGGTCTGCACACAGCAGAAAGCAATGCTGTCTCCACTCAGAGCACATGGTCAGCCAGGGCCCCAATGAGCCTGAGTGATGTCAACCTCTCTCCATGACCACTTCCACTCATTCATTTAACACATGCTCATTGTGTGCTAGCAAACAATGCAAGAGACAAAGCACTAAAAAGTTTCATTTACTTTGGGGAGATAAACATAAAATGGAAATTAATGAAATAATTTATACTACATTTGTGCACACAGCTAAGCTATAAGTTCTTACTGTGTGTTGGTCATTGTTCTAAGTACTTCACATGCATTAAGTCATTTAATGCTGACGACAACCCGAGAAAGTGCAACCATCATTATGCCCATTATACAGATGAGGAGACTGAGGTCTGGGCAGGTGCCTAACTGGCCTCAGCTTTCTTAGCTAGCCAGTGGCAGGGCCAGGATCCATGTCTGCACTGTTAGCCTTTGGGGGAGCTGAGCAGACAGGCAGGCTCCTGAAGAAGATGGAGGGGTGAACAGGCCCCCCAGCTAGAGGGGATAGCAGCATGAGTTGAGAGCAAGGCTGGCAGTGCAGCGGGGCATGGCATGTCCAAAGGAATACTCTACAAGAGTGTTCTGCAAGCTCCTCGTCCCCATTATTCTGTGCACATTCTCAGTTTATGAGGACATACCTACCCGGGTGGGGACTTTCCTATCATCTTGGCCTCTGCAGAGTCTAGTGTGGTGCCTGTGCATGGAAGAGCCTGAATCAGAGTCGGGATGCCGGAGCGTGACCTGAGAAGGCTGACAAAGCCTCTCAGCATCAACAGCACCTCTGATTTCAGGTCCACTGACCCTCCTCCCAGTGAACGGCCCAGCGGTGGGAGAACGAGGCCAGAAAGACTGAGCGTAAGATGCAGGGGGTGCCAAGCCCAGGATGGAAGCTGATGTTGATGTCAAAGTGCTTGGAAACCCGCCAGTCCCGCACTGCTCTTCGGTCAAAGGTCAGCCCTACAGAGGGTGACAGGCATAGTCCTATGGTGGAGCCAACGTGCACAATGAGAGCTGCCTGCACTCAATTTTTAATAAATCAGTAGGGCACAACGCCTGCCTGCGTTACGTCCCGGGATTGTTGGGACACCCAATCAACCGCATGAACACCAGTATCAAAGTTGAGAAACAGGAAAGTCCAGAGCACAACATGACCTTCCATAGATCATTCCATGACTTGCAAAACATTGTTGGGCAGCCACC